GTACATATATACATACATGTAGATAGACAGAAAGCATTTAGGCCATCCAAAAACAAATCAAATCTTAAAGTATTGCCTCTTCTTCATGAATAGAGTGCATTTACGCTGAAGAGTAATCCCCCAATTCTTGTGTGGAAGAATCCAAACAATAATGCATGAACTTGAATAATTTCTCAGTATAAAATGTGCTTTAAAGTTGACCATAATAACTTTTAATTGTTGTCACTGAGACACACACCCTTCAAATGAAATGCAACACAACTATTTGAACCAAAATATAATTAAGAGGGAAATAAACAGCTTTTTACTAAACTAAATAAATAAGAGGAGCGGAATAGTGCAGTTATATTTTCTATAATGAAAGCTTATATTTTCGAATGGTCTAGGACATAGTCTCCTAGCATTTATCTTTATATCAAAAGAAAAATAGTCTCCTAGCATTTATCTTTATATCAAAAGAAAAAAGAAAAAAAAAAAAAGTAACTCATTACTTTGAAGAAAATAAATTCAGAAGTTGAAAGTATCCCATCCACCAATGGCATTTGATACATGATGCATACAAAGTACATCTATGATATATACACCAAGGGATCTCCCAATTATGGGCTGTGGATAATTCTCAATAGAAAACAAGGTGAATGTTTTGGGTCTCACAGCAGTTGATCCCCACCACTCATCATCAGGAATAGATGGTGGATGCTCCAATGATATACCATAGACTACCCCTCATTGATGGATGATATACATTCCCATTCGAAAGTATTTCCAAAGAGAAAAAGTGGAAGTTGATTAGCTAGACATGTCTCAAGTCTCAACCTTAAACCATCCATCCTTTGCTGCTTTCACAAAATATGGAACCAAAGGTGCATCTTGAGGCCCAAAAAGATTGCTTGGGCGTAATGCACAAGTTAACAAATCACCATTACCATTGGCAAACAAAACCATCAACTCTGCCTGACCGATTAAATCATTGCGGGGGTCTTCATACTGCAAAACAATAAACATAGCATAAATTGGGATCAATATTACACAGAAGTATCAAAGATGACACACAAACATAACGGAGAGTTACCAACATCCAATATACCACAGAAAATTTTAGTCCATTGTGTCATCATCGTTCAATGAAATGATGGAAACACATGGAATGAGTAGGGTCCACAACTAGGTTTCATGGGTTGATTTGGTCGACCCACCATCCCTCCATCACCGTCCATCATTTCATTAGAATGGTGTTGACCTCAATGGACCATGAGTTTACCATGGGCCATAGAACTACTGCATACTACCCTTTGAGATCACAGCCAAAACAGGAAAACATCATTTAATTGTAAACGGAAATGAAAGTCATGAGGTAGAATATCAAAGATATAGCATTTATTTAATAACCACTTTCATATCAACAAACAGAAGTGCACATTAATCTGTATTTGAACGTGAAACCAAGAGAGAGAGAGAGAGAAAGAAAGGTGTGGGCATACTTTATTTGGGAATTGCAAGAACTCATCCCCATTGTCTATACTGTGCACACCATCAAAAACTACATCAGCTGAACTGTTATATATAAGCTTCTTGACATTGCATTCTTGACAGGCTCTGATCACATTTCTTGTACCTGATACATAAAACCACGAATTCTTCGAGCAATATACGAGCAAGCTGCATAAATTAGAAGCTATAAATGGTTCTTTTCTTAGTTTTCCAAGGAAATATTTGAGGATTCTTTTCTATTACCTTGAACTATGTGAGCATAGAGAGTTTCAAAATCATTTACAGATCGGTCAGGGGTATACATATGAAATACAACCGATGATCCAGATATCACTGCAACAAGCAGGCATGGTACACATAGTTAGGATACACAAATGATAGTTTCCTAATTAACCTTAAAATTGATATAGAATTCCCAATATTCAAATTTTGTTCCAAAAGATAAAACCACACTTTGTGTTAAGTATCAATAAGAAGAAAAGAAAAAGAAAACCATAACCCTAGATATAACTAAGTCTTCATTGATTTCAGAATATTTCTTTCAAATCTCAGAGAAAACGAATCAATACAACCCTCTCAGAAAATGGGTGCCTAAAAAATGGAAAGAATTCTGAAAAAAATAATAAAAATAAAAGAAAGAACCGCCAAACTCTTGAACAGGATAACCGGCAAGAACACCAAATGAAAGAAGACATGGATGCAAACATCTACCTTGATAAAATAAAAAAGAGAAAGGAGAGAGAAATCCAACATCAAGAAACATCTAGAGAGAGAGAGAGAGAGAGAGAGAGAGAGAGAGAGAGAGAGATATATCTCCTCACTTACCAATAATTCGTACTTACCAAAATAGACGAACCTGGATAATAAGTAAGTTAGGACTAGACGGAACCTAACTTTAAACTTA